AACTGCTACGAAATGCACAAAATAACGAAACTCGTTACCGCCCCTGTCCTCCCCCAATCCCACACAGGTAACAATACTTACACAACATTAAACATCAACTGCTACGAAATGCACAAAATAACGAAACTCGTTACCGCCCCTGTCCTCCCCCAATCCCACACAGATAACAATACTTACACAACATTAAACATCAACTGCTACGAAATGCACAAAATAACGAAACTCGTTACCGCCCCTGTCCTCCCCCCAATCCCACACAGTTAACAATACTTACACAACATTAAACATCAACTGCTACGAAATGCACAAAATAACGAAACTCGTTACCGCCCCTGTCCTCCATTATACACATTAGTTCAGTATTCTATCATAATACATAACAGTTCTAGAACATCGTTTTCCAATCTCAATCCGTTATACACATTAGTTCAGTATTCCGTCATAATACATAACAGTTCTAGAACATCGTTTTCCAATCTCAATCCGTTATACACATTAGTTATGTATTCCGTCATAATACATAACAGTTCTAGAACATCGTTTTCCAATCTCAATCCGTTATACACATTGTCTTATTTGTCTATTTATTGGAATTGCACTGAGAAATGAGAGGTTTTGTGTCATAGCAAAATAGGATTGTAAAGTTTCACACATTTATAGTTTTTTAACGCACTTTCGGCTTTTGAATGTATAACATATTAGGTACAAATCTGAAAATTGAACTAATTTGTTCTATTTGTTCTATTTGATTGATTTTTTTTAATAATTTCGCACAAAGCCAAATAAGGGTTATCTGCCCATAGATGTCTCTAATTTCGAGTTGATAGATTAGTTATCGAATTGTGGGGTTTAGCTGTCATTCTTTTAGCGCGTCCAAGTCCGCAAAGTGCAAAACGAGTTTTTAGCAACTGTAGATCAGTTGGTAGAGCTCTCGCTTACAGCGCTAACGGTCCTGGGTTTAAATTCTGCTCACGGGAGACGTAAAAGTTAGACTATCACAAAGATAACAAAAAGGAAAATGAACAATTACGTGTATAAAAACATTCGTTTTACAATGATAAAACACAAAAACAGCTTTATCAGCTCAAACAAAACTTTTAGCCATGGAAATCTTAAAAAAAAAACACAAAAAACTACTGGCATCTGTAATGTTTATGCTCGTGTCTTTTTCTGTTTCTTATCCACTCCTGTTTGCAAATAATAAAATTATTGCAGTTTCGAGATCCTAACTGAGAGTATGTCAATATTTTAAGTGATTTAGTTGACAAATGTTTAATAGCAAATTACGTTGCCATACACGAAACTTTCAAAATGCAACGCTGTGCCAATTTTGGAGATTCAACACCATAATTATGATAGAAAATAATAATAGTAAATTTATGAAAACATTTCAATTTACTAGATTTTCTTTATGTTTACAATTAAGTATCACGATTTCATTATTTGAGAAGTAATTTCTAATCATTGTTTGATATTATAATTTTAACATCGGTGATTACAAGTGGAAAATCTGAGTAACTTTTGTTAAAAAATATGTTTTTTTTATTTCTTTTTCATCTAACTGTATAGGAGCTTACGCCAAAACATGGCATGTTTGATTAAAGAACTTACAAACTGCATAAACAACGAGATAAAAGAGGAAACTCGAAATATCTTGAAGAAGGCAAGAAAATATGTTGAAAAAGAATGTCATCAAAGTGAAGGTAAGTTCCTGAAAAAGTGTCATAGTGTTTTTAGTGTTTTGTCGTAACCGTTTACAATTGTGATTATTATTGTTTGCTAGCCATGCATACATTTTCAAGTCAAATTCATTTACATATGTCATTAGGGTTTCACAAAATCAAATTTTAAATCAGAATTATATACGTACTATACAATAGTTGAACATTTTGAATTTGTGTTTAGAATGGGCAACGAACCAATGCTTCCAGAAAGCACAGTTGACAAGTTGTCTAGATGATCCAAACCTATTCAACAGAACAACATTGTCGAGAGACACCTGTGGGTAAGTATGGTAGGGTAGAAATTAAGATGAAAATAATCACTCGAACTACTGACGAAGAAGTAATGACAATAAATAGTTAAAACTATTGTTGAAGAAAATTAATGCTAATGATTTGTTTTGTTTCTTTTTTTTCATCTGTAGTTAAACACAAAGCTACACATTGGGCTACTTGCGTGATGTACACAACACGGGTTTAGCCACATTGGGCTACTTGCGTTGTTGTACACAACACGGTTTTAGCATTATAAGCTATATGTATTTTACCCAACTTGGATAATGAAACCTGAATTTTAGCTTTTTAAGTTCCCAGACCTGTCTTTATGATAATATCACTCAAACTATTGATGAAAAATGCTGATAAGCTAGTGGTGAAAAGTAATGTTAATAAAAACTTGAACTATATACTATTGACAAATGTAATGCTATTTGTTTTTAAAAAAATTAACTTTAAACTTGCATTTTATTTTAACGGTAGAATCGCCTATTTGATACAAATTCATAGTATATTACAAGTGGAACATTTTCCTCAACCGCCGTGTTTGTCTATAAACACACATAAATCATCGTTTTAACTCAAACTTAAATTTACAGACCTTATATTTATTTGAACACTTGTTTTTTATCATGAATATTTAACGGACCGAGTGTGGGCCAGTGATTAACCTGCCAGACTGTGGAGTTAAGGGCCCGTGGTTTGGGTCCCGTTGCTGCAAAAAAAAAAAAACGCGCTCGACAATTTGTGTTTAGAATGGGCAACGAACCAATACTTCCAGGAAGCACAATTGACAAGTTGCCTATGGGAATGTTATAAGAGTGACGGTCAACTCTAATTCTTCGGTCTGACAAAAATATCCCAAGAATTAGTGGTAGGTAGTGTTGACTAGCTGTCTTTCCATTGTATAACCTCTTGCGTGTTGTGTGTTTTGTTGTTTTTTAGAGCAAAGCCACATTGAGCTATCTGCTGTGTCCATCGCCGTGAATCGAACCCCGGATTTTTCGTTGTAAATCCATTGATTTACCGCTGTCCCAGCGGAGGACTAGTCTATTGCTTCAAAATTAGAGACGGCTAGCTTTGTGCGAATTAAACAACAACCAGAATTGGTATTATTTAAACTTTGGTAAGAATAGTCATTAGGAATGTGTTGAAGGTGTAATTAATTCTATTCTTTACCGCATCAGTTATTCATCTAAATTCGAGCATTACAAAGTAGCAATAGATAGTCAAAAGTATGAAAATCACAATTGTCTTCAGGTTTTCCTTCACATTTCTCTTTATTATGCCTTTGCCGATTTTAATTACTTAAAAAGCTTCAGTACCTCGCCACCGTAAGCGCTTTACATCGCTGAAAACTCAAGAATTCTTTATAAAGTATCATTCTTTTTGTATAGTTACACGTAATCCAGACGATGTATTATCCAACAACGAACAAATAAACGTAATCTATATGCTATATCGTTGAACGATGAACAAACATATGTGCTCGCTAGGCTATGTTTCTCTACCATATATACAGTCTTTGAAAACTTCTGTTACAAAATGTTGCGAATAAATAATACAAAAAGGTTTCAAATTTATTATTTGACATAGCTGAGTGATAGCACCTTAAAGTTAGGTCCTTTTTAGATGGCCCAGAGCATATATTTGTGTTTCAATATATTATTATTATTTTTTTCAATGATAAGTCGGATATCTATAAACTCTCCATCTACGCTGGCTTTTGTGTCAATATATATGGTTCAATAGTAAATCATTTAGTTTATAATAGTAAAAAGTTATCTATAATCTGAACAAGAATGAGTTATTTGTTCGTTGACAGGAAATATGTGAACTACAGAAACTGCGTTTCGCTGAAGTTACAGGATTGTCTTGCTGAAGCTCAACAATTGGTAGATGTTTTTCTTTTTGAAATTGTTGGAGAACTGATTTGGGAATGTCCAAGACTTGTCCAGATAAGACATAAAAAAGACACTAGCCAGTTGATGGGAGATGCTCCCTCAACTGAAGGTAGGATAAGAATTTGAGTTTGTTTTCAATAGCTTAATGGTTTCGATAACTAACTAAGCATAAATATGTGTGTTTTATTGTACAATTTAAAGTTTTAAACACGTCTATGCTCGTTTAAATGTACTTGGTATAAATGATTTCTAGCTTTATTAGAAATGTAGCGGAGATAAAATTAAATGTTACGTTGTGATCTCATTTCTTTATTAAACAACTTCTGTGATGACAAAACAATTTGAGAACCATAACTTAACTTAATGGACCTAAGTAGATAAGTACGTAATTACTTCGCCCGTGGAAGTATTCTACTCAGAAAAGCCGTAATTACTTCGCCCGTGGAAGTATTCTACTCAGAAAAGCCGTAATTACTTCGCCCGTGGAAGTATTCTACTCAGAAAAGCCGTAATTACTTCGCCGTGGAAGTATTCTACTCAGAAAAGCCGTAATTACTTCGCCCGTGGAAGTATTCTACTCAGAAAAGCCGTAATTACTTCGCCCGTGGAAGTATTCTACTCAGAAAAGCCACACAGAATTATCAGGATAACGAAAATATCAGAATTTAATGAATTTGTTTGAAATTCGCGCAAAGCTACTCGAGGGCTACCTGCGCTAGCCGTCCCTAATTTTGAAGTGATAGACTAAAGGGAAGGCAGCTAGCTCTTGGTCTATTCTTTATAAACGAATTGTGGGACTGACCGTAACATTATAAAATATCCACAGATTGCAAGTCGAGTGCCCTAACCACCAGGCCATGCCAGACCCTAATTTATTGAGACAACAGTAAGTTGTCGGATCCTGCTCATTCACCATGGCATCTCTCTCAGTTTCTTTGTTGTAGGACTGACTTGGTCAAAAAATGCTACGTACTGACAATATTTGGTCTCCAGCAGGGTTTGAAACTCACCGGAACGCAGAATCGGTTCTTTTTATGGACTTCGAAGTAAAGTGCACAGCTTTGTGGGATTGGGGGGCATAATACATAACAGTTCTAGAACATCGTTTTCCAATCTCAATCCGGAATACTGAACTAATGTGTACATCGGATTGAGATTGGAAAACGATGTTCTAGAACTGTTATGTATTATGATAGAATACTGAATTAATGTGTATAACGGATTGAGATTGGAAAACGATGTTCTAGAACTGTTATGTATTATAGTGACACTGGTTGCCGAACAAGATCAAAGACTACATTCATTCTTTATAGACTTTTCTTTCTCTTTGTATTTTTTTCATATACAAATTCAGCACAGTCTGAGCCAGGTATTTCTTGAGAGAAAAGTAAAATATCATTTTAGCTCAAAATCTCTCAGATCAATCAGTATAAATAGCCAAAAAATAACTTGTTATAGTAACTGCAGAATATATAAGTACAAGTTGGTATGTGTTTGTATATGCTTCATACTTTATTTATGCAGGCTTTCGGAGCGTTGCGAAAACTAGAGGGTACGTGATATGCAAAAGGAAAACTTCTATAGTAGAGACACTCTGTGGTGCACTGTTTAGCCACCAGAGGGTTGTTCAGGCACAAAGGTGCTAGATCCTTACACTTCCTCAATACTAGCAACAGAAGAACGAGTGTTGAGGATGCCAATAACGCCAAAAATTGAGTTTCGATACCCGCAGTAATCAGAGCTCAGATAGCCCATTGTGTAGTTTTGTGCTTAACAACAAACAAAATAACAAACTTACACTGGTAGAGCGCATTGAGCTAATTTTGCTGTATATACGTAACTGCGCCAAACACTGTTTTTTATAGCTAGCACTCTGACAGAGACACAGTTGTAAGATCAGTGACAAGTAAATTAGTGGAACATTCCTTCAGACCAGAAGCGTATTAGTTGATATTATTGATCAACCCCTGTGATGTTCAAACAGAGCACCACAGAGTGTCTCTATCACAGACTTTTTTCCTTCCTATATCATCATCTACCTATACCCTTGTTTTCGCAACGTTCATACAATGTTGCATGAATTATGAATTGCCCAGTATAAATGTATAAACATATTACTTTTTAAATTTCTAATGCGATACCCAAGGGTTGATAAGATATTGGTAATTCACTATGATATTATAATGAATCATTTTTAGCATCTACGTTTTGATTTGGAATCTATATTAGATAATTATCATTTAAATTTTGAACTGATGCCTTTTTTAATATACTTGTACTGTGCGAAGTTGATTAGGATTTTAAAATTAATATAAAGCAACTTTCTTGGCTCGTATAGTGTAAGAAATTCACGAAAGATGGCGTCGACTCAACTCCCCTGCTGAATAACTGTTATCTTTTTCATTTAATCATAAACCGTTTTCCATAGAAATCAAATTTCTTTTCTTTTTTTATTGTAAACAACTATCACATTATCACAAAATACTTTTAAAATGCATCCGAAGCGAAACGGCCATGCGCATTGTGTTGAGTTTAAGAAACAGCAGGGTAAGTCTCTGAATATTTCCAGGTAATAATGATAATTCATTGAAATAATTCATTTCTTAAATGAATTGAACGCATGTGCCATATCTGAACGCAACAGTTACTGGGCTTTGACTACTGGTGTGTTGAACTGTCTTTCTCTAATCCGATATACACATTAGTTCAGTATTCTATCATAATACATAACAGTTCTAGAACATCGTTTTCCAATCTCAATCCGTTATACACATTAATTCAGTATTCTATCATAATACATAACAGTTCTAGAACATCGTTTCCAATCTCAATCCGTTATACACATTGATTCAGTATTCTATTACAACTATTGCAGTCTTTGATCTTGTTCGGCAACCAGTGTCACTACAAC